CGCCCCTCTGTTGAACTACTATTGGAAATCCCATTTCTTCATTATTTAACTCCCTTTGTCCTCTGATGCATGATCAAGAAAACAGGATTTTTGTCTTACTTGTAAAATCTGTTTCTTAAAGTGCATCACAGGGCACAGGAGCCTCCCCTCTTGTTTCTGTAATCCACACTTGTGCTACAAAACAACGGCAGGCTGGGAGTGGGAGGAGTTATACACGGCTTTGCTAACAACTTTGATTTGGATTTTGCAGCTACTACCCTGTTTCCCCAAAAATAAGACCTAGTACTTTTTTGGGGAATTGCTAAAATATAAGACCTACCCCGAAAATAAGACCTAGTTGTGACCATTCCCAGGGCCGGTGCTGGTATAAGGGGGAACTTGAAGAGCCGCAGGAGAGAATCAGCGGTGCCAATGAAGCCAGCGCTAGAGGGAGCAGATGCTTCCTCTATAGCGCTGGCTCCTGTCACTGGCAGAGTGATACCAAATGCTCTCCGCCTGTGAGGAATCGATAGTGAAAGAGCGTTTCGCTCATTCTGGCCAGCGATTGGTTACCAAATTGCTCACCAAATTGCTCTTGGAAAGGTACGGCATCCCTGATTGCCCTGATCACCCTATTCTTAACTTTGCCATTTTGGATTATTTAATTTGGATTTGCGTTAACTTTGGATTGTTGTACATTAAAAAAAATAAGACCTACCCCGGAAATAAGACCTAGTGTGGTTTTTTTTAAGCCAAAAAAAAAAAAATATAAGACTTATGTCTTATTTTTGGGGAAACACGGTACATGTGACTGAAAATTGCCATCTGTTCAAGTTTTAACTCCCTGGTGGATATTTATCAAAACTGGAGCAGACAAAATGTGGAATAGATGTGCGTGGCAACCAATCAAATTGTCTCTTCTGTTTGTACAGTTAAGATTTGAAAATGAAAGAGAGAAGCGGATTGGTTGCCATGCACAACTGCTCCAGATTTGATAAATTCCATTCTCTGTGTGTTGGTGTGTTCCCCAAAAATTGCATTTTACCCGTAGGACAAAAAATCCTTTTTTCTTCCTTGATGCTGGGCTAATTGTTGAAAGTGACTTCTTTCTCTCCACATGAAAGGACATAATTGCTTAAGGGGTTGTTTTGCCAGGCTTTTGTTTGCATCAGAGGGGTTTGCATTGCTATGTACTTTTTGAAGAAGGTTGAATGCACCGGTCAGTGAATTCTGAATGATAATCAGAAACATCTCAAACTGATGTCTGTGAAGGTTCTCGTTCATCCAGGTCATGGTATATCTGTAAAATAATCAGTCAAGGCAACTGGACTTCCTGTATTTTTCTTTAAGACATTTCAATGGACATCGGACCAGCTTTCTCAATTCAGAATGACTTGTACAAAAATTCTCTAGGAATAAATATGGTGAATGTCGTTCCAAGCCACATAATCTGTTAGTCGCAACCAAGTGTTGATTGCATTTGCATAAGTGGAGCTAGGAGGTGTTATTAACCTGCCCAGAGAGAGGTGTTAAAACAGCATGTTTTTAAAAAAACATCACATCCCTGTCTGCATTAAACTCAGCAATGCTCCGAGGCAACAACTGGTTCACCCAAAAGACCCAACGCCAAAACACAAGATGAACAACATTGTGTATGCAATCCAGTGCAGTGAGGAGTGCTCAGAATTATATGTCAGTGAAACAAAACAGCAGCTACACCAGCGTATGGCACAGCATAGAAGAGTCAAACCCTCTGGTCAGGATTCGGCAGTGTACCTACATCTAAAGGAAAAAGGTCACTCCTTTGAAGACAGTCAAGTACGCATCCTAGACAGGGAGGACGACTGGTTTAAATGAGGTATGAAAGAGGCCATTTATGTAAAAATGGAGAAGCCAAGCTTGAATGGACAGGTTACTAACACCTCCTAGACTCCAATTATTGCCCATCTGAATGAGGCCTAATAATGTACAGCACTGGGTTTTTTACAGATGTACTTGACTCTCAGCTTGCTTCAGGACTAAAGAGCAACATTTATTTTAATGAATAAGGAAAACAAATCATAGGAGAGCCATCCTCTCCTAATTAGGAAATTCTCCAGTGTAATACAGAGCGAATGCCATGGTTTAATGCAGGTTCCCTGCCACAGGCCTACATTTTAGGAATAACTTGTATAATTCAGGCTGTTGTGAAGTATACACTAGTGTCCAACGGAGAGCAGATAGTTGTGTGGTATAAGGGGTCATTAGTTATACCTGTGTTAAGTTCCAGGGCCTCCTTGGCCATACAGAAATCAGTTATATGATTTTGTAGCTAAACTTTGGCAGTCTTATTTGGTTGTGTTAATCTGTCAGGTTTAAAAAAAATATGCACACCTGTAGGCACCATAAGGTCCCTGCAGTTATTTGCAGTATATTATCCAGACAGCCCTCTAGTGTACACTTCACTGAATTAGGATCCATTCTTTCACAAAGGGCCTCGACTTCTCTGAAGTTCAACCAACCTTCTACTCCACTATTCATTGAATATGCTGCAGTTGGGTAGTTAATATTGCAAATACTATTTTTTAATGTTTGCCCTTACTAACAGGTTCACTTTTCACAAATAAAAGAGAACCCTGCACAGGGGAAAACAATTTTTATCTGATTGGTGGAATTCAAGTAGCACAGAACATGTCTTAAACCTTTCGCTGCCGAGCCCTCCGGAACATTTTTCAAATCAGCTGGCCACGCCATTTTTGCAATTTTTCCCATTAATTTGGTAAAAGACCCCCCAAACAATATATTTCTCTCCCGTTCATTGAAGGACACAGGGAACAGATCGGAGATCATGTACTGTAGGGTAATATCGCCACCTGCAGGAGAAGGACGCTAGGCACAAAAAACTAAAGACCAATTACAGCCTAGGGGCGGCCCCTGCTGGTGGCCAAACCCCCCACCTGCTGACAAGTCTCCAGTTTTTTGCCTAGCGTCAGGAGTAAGGAGCTAAGAATTACTTCGTAATTGCGCTTTTTTGCGAAAAGGTAACAAAAATGAAGGTACGCAAAACTGTAAATAAGCGACTTATGTAAAAAATTGTTTTTGCGCTGTGTTGGTGTGTGTGTTGTGATAAAATGATACAGGCTTATATTTAATTGCAACACAAGGTATCGCAACGCATGCCAATTCGTCGCCATGCGCTGCCACAGTTAATTTAATGTTTTTTTCTTAAAGAAAAAAAAATACATTAAAAAAAGCATGCACTGCGATGCCTTCTTACAACGCACTGCATGTGCATGGTGTGTGCCACAATATGTGTATGTTATGTGTGGGAAGGGGGGGTTGTGCTTTTTTTTGTTTTTGTTTTTTTTCCACTTTTTATTTATTTTTAAATAATTTTATTTAGTTTTACATTTTTTTTTTAAATTTTACTTTTGTTTTACATTTTTTATTTATTTTTTTATTTTGTATTTATTTTTTTACTGTTGGGGGGGCTACGGTGAAATATCTGGGGTCTAAACAGACCCCTGACATTTCCCTTTTGAAATAGAAAAAGAAATTGAGGACGCAGAGTTGTGATGCCGAAGGATCTAGCTGTAGCTTCGGCTGATCCTTCGGCCAAATGACAGTTTAGCATCTCCTCGTTACCTAGTAACCAGGGGACGCTGGACTATCATTACACACTGAGAACACTGAGGTGCTGCCATGATATCACAGCGGCTCCGCCGGGTTCTCAGTGTGTAATGACAGTTCAGCATCTCCTGGTTACCTAGTAACCAGGGGACGCTGGACTTTCATGAGAGCTTGTCGGAGCCGGCTTTGATATCACCGCCGGCTCCGACGAGCTCTCATTGTAATGACAGCTGGTCACCCCGCCAGCCGACGCTTGCTCCTCCGCCCCCCGCTGGAGATTTTGTATTATCCCCGTTGCCACAGCCCCTTCAAGCGGGGGACAGCAGCGGGGATCCATGGAGTCACAGATGAGACGTATTAATTTGAAGGGGACAGTCCGGGGAACAGTTCTAGTATAAGCTCATGGTCGCTAGCAGAACTGTAATTGCCAGGTCCGTATGGCATACGGACCTGGCCAGCCGGGAACACTTTTGTTCCTCCGTATGCCGTACGTCCTTGGCAGGGAAAGGGTTAAAGAGTAAGTATAGTTAAAGAAAAGCTGACAAGTAGGGGTTTTTTTTATGACAGAAGAGACGGTCAAGGGAATTTATCAAAATCTGGAGCAGCTGTGTCTGACAATCAATCAGCTTCTCTCTTCAGTTTGTTGAGTTAAAGTGACATTGAAGTCAAAAGTCCCCACCCCACAATGCTAATGTAAGGACTTACCTTAAGGGCCCGTCCACACCAGATGCAGTGCGTTAGGGCCCGATTCTGGCCAGAACGCACTGCATCGCATTGCGGCCGGCTCACTTTTTTGTGGGGCAGGAGGGCGTGGCGGGCCATTGAAGTGAATGGCACCGTAGCCACGCCCTCCGGCCGTTATGAGATCGGCTGCACGGGATCACAAGGCACATTATGCCTGCGGTCCGGTCCGATCAAAATAGTGCTTGCAGCATTGTAATTGCACCGGACCGCAGGCATAATGCGTAGCGATCTCATTGAGGCAGGAGGGTGTGGCTACGGTGCCATTCACTTCAATCAACCCTCCTGCCCCACAAAAAAGTGAGCCGGCCGCAATGCGATGCAGTGCGTTCTGGCCAGAATCGGGCCCGAACGCACTGCATTTGGTGTGAAAGGTGGATGCTGATTGGTTGCCATGCACAGCTGCTCCAGTTTTCATACATTTCCCCTCTCTGTGTGTCTCTCCTGTCATAATTGCTCCTCTCTGTCAGAGCTGTGCATGTGCTGCTTAATGCACAAGCTTTGCAAGGTCCTGCGCCGAGCTGAAGTTTTATATACCAGTGTTTGAATTGTTAACTTTTAGTGTCATTGTTAACTGTCTTGACAAAGGGCAGGGATGCCTGAAACGTTGCTGAAATACTTGTCACTGAATGAGCAATACAAAATCTATCATGCACTATTTGTCTTTCCAGGCAAAGGTGCAGCTGCTTTTGGTGATTATATCTGGAACAAGAGATGACCTCTATGGTGCCATAAAAAAGCTGTGTTGTGTGAAGTCCCCAGTTCCATCACAGGTGAGTAGTGGACCCAGTTTGTGGAGGGGATGTATGTGGATCATACATCCTTATAAAAAAAAAAAAAAAAACCTTACAAACGGGGCCCCCAACACACTTTGAAGTTGGCCTCC